GTTATATCTATAACTTATCTCCTCTCGAATACTCAATCGAGGAGTATATCCAATTCATCGAGGATAGTTATTAACAACAACCGTTCATTAATAACCCTTACTATTAGTCAAGTATAGAACAACGCCATATACCGACTTGATAGTAGCATTTAATCTTTTAACTCCTTGATGAAATCAATTGAGATTGATAACCTCAACACAACAGTTTCGGTTTAACCAACAAAATTAATCCCTCTTAAGTTTATTAACCACGACCGTGCATTAATAAACCGAAGTTACTTACTTGTGAAACTATCAACGATTAACCATCGGTTCGTTGATCGTTTCTAGTAATAATTAATATGTGAAACAAAACTAGTTGATCCTTTAAGTAATGTTCAAAATATTAATATAAAATATGAATAGGGATTAATTAATATTCAAGGAAGAATATTAAAGAAGATGTATCCTACTATGGTTAATATCAAGATGTTAACTAATTGTCATCTTAGTAACACTCCCCGATATTAACATAGAGGAAGGAATAACTATTACTAAGACCAATGTCAAGATGTTAACTAATTGTCATCTTAGTAACACTCCCCAACATTGATATAGAAATAGTATTTAAAGGAAGAATTAATATTCAAGGAAAAGAAGTTAAGAAAATAACTCACAACTTTAATAATCAACAAGCTTCAAGAGCAATACCAAGAAATGGAAGTTTAGCTCCTCATTTGGAGACTAAACATGCTAAAAGAAATATAAAGAAATGCTATTCTAAACTGAGCTTAAGAGTGTATAGGAATTGGTTTCTAAAAGTGAAGGAAAGGAGGTGTATTTATAGGCTTTTTGAGGTGCAGGTCGAGTACTCGATCGAGTATATATACATACTCGATCGAGTATGTGTAGAACATCGAATTCGCCCTATACTCGATCAATACTCGGGTAGTTTTTATAGCTATACCCGATCGAGTATATAAGTATACCCGATCGGGTATAGACACTCGAACGTGGGAAAATCTTCTCCTGCATGTTCCTTTGTTTTCGGATCCGATCCGATTTGAAATGTCAACCAGATACCCGATCGAGTATATGTATATACTCGACCGAGTATAGACCAAAATCAGGATTTTTCCTTCTTTTTGTCTTGTACTCTTGCACCTTCCTTCACCATTGATCATTTGATTGATCTTGGACCTGTTTAAGCTCAGAATAAACCTAATCTAAACATATTACAAGAATTTAACAAACTAAACTATTACACCGAAAGTGTGTAATTTCTGAAATATTAAACAATCAAAACTAACTAAAAGCGTAAATAAACATACGGAAATTACAAACGTATCATCAAGTTTGCTTCGGTCTTCTCTGTCATCAGCAACAAAGAACTTGCACCCAAATACTCTGATAAAAAAAACGTTGGGGGTGCAATGGTTGATCAGCTCATATGGAGTCTTACAAACCTCTTATGAATGGAGGTCCAATTTTGAGTGAAGCATGCAATGTTGATCACTTCAGACCAGAGAAAATGTGGAAGTTTGGAATGAATAAGAATGGTTCTAGCAGCTTCATCAAGAGTTCTGTTCTTTCGTTAAACTACCCCATTCTGCGGAGGGGATTTTGCTGCAGAGAATTGTGAATGAGATTCCTTGAAGCTCGTAGAATTCACTGAGCTTTTGATTCTTGAACTCAGTGCCTTTGTCTGAATGAATGAAGAGAATGGTTGCCTAAAGTAGATTCTGAGTGGTTCGAACGAAAGTGATGATGAAGTCTGCGGTCTCATCTTTTGTGCGTAAGAATTGGGTCCACGTGTATCGTGAGTAGTCATCTTTTTTCCCAAGGAGCCACCATTACGGTGGGGGTAAATGTCGGGAAACATTTACCTATTTTATTAAAATCTCAAAGGGGTAGATACATAGAGCAAATGAAATTGAAAAACAATAACAAAAAGAGGGAAGGGGGAGGAAAATGGGCCTGAAGATAATAAATAAAAAAAAACAAAATACCATATAGAGCCAAGGGACGTGGGCTAGAAGCGTCCAAGGAAGCCCAAAGAATATACGACAACAACATAATACAACCAGAAGCTAATAAATAAAAAACAAAAGACCGTATAGAGCCAAGGGATGTCAGCTTGGAGCGTCCAAGGAAGCCCAAATATCGTGAGTAGTCATCTATTTTCACCAGAATGTATTTCTTTTCATTGATGCTTTGTGTACGCATGGGTCCACAAAGATCCATATATATGAAAAAGTTCTAATGGGCGAGTAGTAGATGCAGTCATTTTGACCTTGTGAGAAGATCTTTTCATTTTTCCAAGTGCGCATGAGCCACACGGATGATCATTCTGCGATTGTAGTGCTGGCAGACTAGTGACAAGCTTCTTTGATGATAATGTATGTAGATCCCTGTAATTTAGATGAAACATCCTCTTACGCCACAATTGACTTTGTTCAGAAGATGCTCGGGCACACTCAGACATCTATAGAGGAAGAGACGGTTTCCAAGACTGTAGTGTATAGACTTGACTTGCTTTACATCTGAGAATTGTTTTCCCCTATTCATCTTTCACACAATATTGTTTAGCTCGGAATAAAGATTGCATCCCTTTGTCACAAAATTGACTGATGTTAAACAAGTTATGTGTTAATCCGACAACGTGTGACACATCTTTGATCGTAACCTTCTTGTTACATATGTCTCCATATCCGAGGATATGAGTTGACTCGCTGTTTCCAAATCTGACTTTTTCACCAAGCTTGTTGATGTAGTTGCTCAACAACTCTTTCTTCCCAGTAATGTGTGTGGAGCAATCATAATCAAGATACCACACATGACTGACCTGCAAAAATTAAGGAACCTTAGGTATCAATTTAAGGACGGGTCCGTCCTGTTTATGCAAAATATCATTTAAAGTAGGTTCATTTGTTCCATTTTTAGGAATTCAAGTTTGTTTAACTAGAGGAACTTGGATGGGAGTGTTATGATTAATTGAGTGATTATTTTTAAGATTTGTGAATATTTTATCTCTTGATAATCTCTTAAGATGTTTGATTGAATAAACTTTCAAATGATAATTTAAACAAACACATTTACAAGCAGATAAAGTAACACAATCATTATTAACATCAATATCACTCACATCATATATAGAAAAGGGAGAATTTAGATTATTAAGCTTATCAGAATCACAAGAAACAAAGTCAATGGTACTAGAATGAGTAGGAGAAACCTTAGGAGAATTGTGTGAAATATAATTAAAAGAATAGGAGGCTTGGAATCACTGCTCATTGTGTAAGCATGTGATGTTGAAAAGTTTGACTGTTGACTAATCGTAGACGTGTGCTGTTTTGATATTCAATGGCGAAGAAGTTCGCGAACAGAGAGAGCAAAGAGGTCACATGTGCTGGATGGCGAAGGTTTATCAGACGAACACTTGATAGCGAAGACAACGGCAAAGCTGGTTCGCTATCCTTGATGGCGAAGAGGAGTTCGCGATTTGTAAATGGCGAAGATGCTCGCAACTGGAGGCTAGCGATGTGGTTCGTGATGAAGATGGTGATGCATGGATTCACGAAAAGGATGGCGAAGAGGTCAATAACTTGATCGCAAGGCAGATTCGTGATCCTGAATTGTGAAGGGGTTCGCGATCCGGATGGCGAGATGAAGTTTCATGTTCTTCCTTCGCGATCTGCTTTCCTTCTCTGCTGCGAATACATATTACGTCTTCAACTCTGATACCAATTGCGAATTCCCACTTCAACGGTCGAATAACGAAATAACACTGAATCGTAAATTATACGTAGAACAAGTAAGATCAAACAACAACTTTATTGATAATTATAATGATTACTACATGAAGAACAAAGTGCGGAAATAATTTTAGTGGAAACCCTAGGCTGTTCGGTCCATCCTACTATTTATAGAGGGATAGCCGAACATCCTTGTTACATAAGGATCAGCCAAATTAAACAATTTAAATGGCTCCTAATTAATTACAAAGCCCACCACTACAAATCTAATTAATCAAAGATAACCACAATAAAATTGAACACAATACATAATGTTCTAACACCAATCGTTGACTGGATAGAATAGAGACTGCCTGATCATCGAATGGACCAGAAACGAGACTGGAGCAGGACCCGACTGAAATACGACTGTGTCCACCACTAGGCATAAGTAGGCAAATTCATTGCAACATGACTATAGTGTCCGCACATTCAAAATTTGGAAAACGAGTAAAACTCATTTCTCATATTCATTAAGGAAAACAAAGGCATATCTCATTTTTTTAGTTTCAGAAAATGATCTGATAAACACATTTTTTTTTATTTTCCTTTCTCTAGTTTTCCCAGTTTTCCAGTTTTCTAGTTTGATGGGAAATTGGAAAATATTTATGCTAGTAAACAGCCCCTTAATCATTCTAAAACCTTGTCTAGAAATCTTCTTGGTTAGGAAATTCAATAATCACCTCAAATTAACTACAAATAGAATACAAAACAGTCGCAAATTATACCATATGACCGGCATACCATGCGCATGGTATGCCGGTCCAAATATGGCATCGTTTTTCTCCGTTTTTTCTCTGGAGCACTAAGTTCGTTTCTTTTCTTTTCCTTCAAGACTCAAGCCGCCAGATCTTTTTTGGAGCACTATCTCTTTATTTTTCATTATTGTTTTCTTCAATTATTTTCAAATTTAAATATTGACTAATCAAAGCTCTTTTCTGATCATTATCAATGTGGTTAGTGGGAGGTCAATAAACCTTTGAGAGATGTTTTGCATTAGGAAAGTTGTCTCTTTCAACTGTACTCAGCCATGAACTGCATAGGCAAATCACATGAAAGTATGAAACACTCTTGTTATCTTTTTACAAGGAAATTTTAGGATTAATAAATACAATAGAACACAAATGGTTGGGATCTTGGTTAGGTAATTCTAATTGCAAATAATTACATTAGCTAACATTTCCGATGTTAATTCACACTACACACTAAAGCCTTGTTTGGTTGAAGCAAGAGAAGGAAAGTGGAAGAATGTTTTTTGCTTGGTTGGGAATTGAAAAAAAAAAAGGATGGCACCCCATCCTTGAGGGCCTCCCAACACCAACTGGACGGCACGATGGGAGGATGTAAATTGGACTATAATCACAATCTGACAGATAGAGAGTGGGGCTTCATTTCCGGTACTTGCAGAGGCCCTCTATTGAGTAACCTCTCATCGTAGTTGCCGGGAGTCGAACCTGAGACCTAACTCTTGTGGCACTCTCTCGCTACCAGTTGAGCTGTAGACTATTCCAAACTCCTCATATCTCACTACCTCTATTTGGGATCTTCTGAAGGAGATAATTTGTTATCTCTTTATTGCTTTTTCAACTTTTTTTTTAATCCAAGAACATTATTATGGTTGTACATAAAGTTATCTAATTCTATACTTTTAATTGCAACAATAATGTTCATTAATAACAATTTTGTATACTGTTGTAAAATAATATTTCTTCCAATATGTTTGATCCATTCAATCAAACATAGCATCTTTTTATACTCTCCCGCTTTCCTCCCATCCCTCCCCTTTTCTGAATATGACTCTGTAGAAGCATAACCGCCATGCAAAGATATAAGTTAAATAAATTTTTCTATATTTTGTAATGAATAAAGATACAAATACACAATAAAAGAACATGATTTTTATTTCCAGAAGCTCTTATTGTGCTACACTTATACTCAAGACTGTCAGCAATTCCCGTCATGTGAATATGCAAGCAAAAACCCTCATATTGGCAATGTGTGCAGGTACGTACATAGCATCCCATTTGAGAAAGAATGATAATGAGACATAATTGTTGAAGACATGTACTTTTGCTGCTCCTAAGAAACATATAGAATTATGCTTTGAAAAAAAGGCGTCTAAGCCCAATTCATAATTAAGATGCTCTAAGCAGATTTATCCTATGGTTTAACAATTCACCTTACAGCATTCAATTTTTGAAATATGAGCAACTTTGTAGTATTAATGCCATATAATATACTACGTACATTTCAGTTGTAAGATTTCTCACATGTTAGGCCCCATCAGGATTCCCATATTTGATGCTTCAGATAGAAATATATTACTCGACTGTAAAAGAGATACATATAATCATTTTTTGTTCCAACTCATAAAAGAAACAAACTCAAGCAGGCAATTGAAGTAAATAAAGCGATATATTACATTTAGGTCATTGAGAATGCTTACTAGAATGGGGTGCCTACTAGAAATACGAAGTATATCATACTAGTAGTAGTTTGAAAAGAATGAAGAATAAGTCCTTTTTATTGTGAAATGAAGAAGATGAAGACTAAATAAAGAGATAGAGATATATGAATAATAAGATCTAAATTATACTTCTTAATATCAAGATTTCTGAATTTCTAAGTTTCTGAATAAGTTCACAAGGGTTTGATCAAGCCCTATTTATACTAGTTGGGCTTGGTGATGAATCATCAAGGAGAATTTCTACACATTCTGCTGGCAAAATTAAACGTAGACATATGTCCTATTACAAGGATTGGAATTGGATTAGTGTCCTGATTACAAGGATGGACATTCACACATGTCATTTTGATGATTTTACAACACTCCCCCTTGAATGTTTATCCTTGAATAGGTATTTGGCATTTTAAAAACTTATTGTGAAAATGAGTGTGAAAATTAAGGGGTAAAGATTACGACATATAATGTCGTTCTATTTGGATGTACTGTCTCGTTAAAAACCTTATCAGGGAAAACCCAGTGGAATAAAAACCTGATGAAGGGAAAAAGAGTGCAGTGCATTCAAATACTCCCCCTCAATTTAGCATAAATTATTAAGGCGGCGCATGCCGATTTTCTGTACGAGTTCTATGAATTTCTTCGGGGGTAAAGATTTGGTGAAGAGATCAGCCGGATTTTCACTAGATTTGATTTGTTGAGTGTTGATTGTTCCTTCTTTCTCTAGGTCGTGAGTAGAGAAGAATTTTGGTGATATGTGTTTCTTTCTGTCTCCTTTGATGTAGCCTTCTTTAATTTGAGCTATACATGCAGTGTTGGGCTGACAAGTAAGAGGTTTCATACCGCATTCATTTTGGATGTGTTGAATCATAGATCGCAGCCACACACATTCTCTCCCCGTTTCATATAGTGTAATTAACTCCGAATGATTTGATGATGTAGCTGTCAACGTCTGTTTCATAGGTCTCCACGAGATTGCGTTATTACCATAAGTAAATACGTACCCGGTTTGTGATTTTGCCTTTTGAGGATCTGGTAAGTATCCGGCGTCTGCATATCCGATTAAAGAAGTTGTTACATCTTTGTGGTAGAATAAGCCGAGATCAACTGTATCATGGAGATAACAGAATATGTGCTTGATCCCGTTCCAACGACATCTTGTTGGATATGAGATGTACCTAGCTAATAAATTTACAGAAAATGCAACATCTGGTCTAGTATTATTAGCTAAATACATTAAAGCTCCAATAGCACTCAGATATGGTACTTCGGGACCGAGTATTTCTTCGTCACCTTCTCGGGGACAGAATGGATCATCGTTTATGTTGAGAGATCGAATGACCATTGGTGAAGTCAAAGGATGAGCTTTGTCCATATAGAATCTCTTCAACACTTTCTCGGTGTAATTGGATTGGTGGATGAAAATTTCATTCTTCAAATGCTCAATTTGAAGTCCGAGACAAAATTTGGTTCTCCCGAGATCTTTCATTTCAAATTCTTTCATAAGATATTTTGCAGTATTTTAAATTTCATCTGGAGTTCCAATAATGTTTAAGTCATCAACATATACTGCAATTATGGCGAATCCCGAATTTGATCGCTGAATGAAAACACATGGACTAATCAGATCATTCTTATATCCTTCTTTGAGAAGGTATTCACTGAGACGATTATACCACATTCGTCCAGATTGTTTTAGTCCATACAATGACTTTTGTAATTTAATGGAAAACAGATCTCGAGATTTCGAGCTATAAGCTTCAGGCATTTTAAATCCACCGGGAACTTTCATATAAATGTCTGTATCGAGTGAACCGTATAAATATGCGGTCACTACATTCATTAGGCGCATATGCAACCTTTCAAAAATAGACGTTCCAATGAGGAACCTTAATGTAGTTGCGTCAACTACTGGAGAATAGGTTTCTTCATAATCAATTCCCGGCATTTGAGAAAAACTTTGGGCAACAAGTCGGGCTTTATATCTAACAATTTCATTCTTTTCATTGTGTTTACGCACAAATACCCATTTAAAACCCACAGATTTTACGCCTTTGGGTGTAGGGACTATCGGTCAAAAAACATCACGTTTTTCAAGTGATTTTAATTCAGCCTGAATAGCTTCATTCCATTTTGGCTAATCATGTCGTTTCCGACATTCTTCAATTGATGTTGGCTCATTGTCATTGTTTTCATTCATAACATTCATGGCAACGGCAGACAAATATCTCATTAATATCAATATCTTTTCGATTCCATAGCATTCCAGTAGAAACGTAGTTTATTGAAATTTCATAATTATCAACGTTTCTATCATTATCTGGAACATCTTCCTCTTTTTTTCCCTTTTTTTTTGAAAAAAAAAGAAATTTTATTGATAACGGAAAAAATACAATGCGAAAAAAGGAAAAAATGAAAAGCATAACAAAAAAACAAAAAAGTGAGAAAACTAAACACAAAGCTAGTCCCAAGGGAAGTCTCGGGATTGAGATCTTGTGGTCATGCTGTGTCGCCTTTTGTTTTTCTGATTTTTCCTGTAAATTTTTAGCTGCGTGTTTAGGTTATCAGTTGGCAGACAGTTATCTGAGTTTATGAAATTGGCCTTGCGGCAAATTCCCCTATTGAATTTAGACTTCCTTATTTCTTCCGGGTATGAAATAGGAGGGCGACGATCGCTTTCGGTCGCATGTCTCAAGAAGTCGTCTGTGAAGAAGGAGTCATCTGGAACATCTTCCTCATTTAAGGAAATTGGATCATTATTTGAGATGTTTGTTTGGTCAATATCATTTTCTGTGCCGGTATTTTCAAATTGTTCATTTTCTTGTTCAGAAGGATGAACATCTTTGGCATCACAAATCAATTCCTGCCTTTTAGTTCTTCTTGGTTTTATGTCTTTCGATCCATGTGGCCTGCCACGCTTTTTGCGTACAGAAGAATCATTTGCAAGAGATTTTTCAGAATTCTCTGCTGAGATTTTGATTCTGGCAGGGGCATTCATAGCAGGAATATGTGACTTTGTCACTTTCTTTGTATCTGTGAATGCATCAGGCAACTGATTTGCAACATTTTGTAAATGGATTATCTTTTGCACCTCTTGCTCACATATATTTGATCTAGAATCAAGGTGTGATAATCATGTTGCATTCCATGTTATTTCTTTCATACTTGGGTCTGATTTATTAGTTTCTCCCCCTAAGGTTGGGAATACTGTCTCATTGAAATGAGAGTCAGCGAACCGTGCGGTGAATAAGTCACCAGTCAGTTCAAGAGTAAATTCTCAACCTTCTTTGAGGACCCTTTTTTGTACGATGAGGTGGAGCAATCGGAACATAAACAACACAACCAAATATTTTTATGTGTGCTAAGTTTGGCTCTTGTTCAGTAACTAATTGCATTGGGGAATATTCATGATATGCAGTCGGTCTAAGCCGAATTAAATTTGCTGCATGCAAAATAGCATGTGCCCAAGCTGATGAAGGTAAATTACACTTCATTAATAATGGTCTAGCGATTAATTGTAATCGTTTAATCAAAGATTCAGCAAGACCATTTTGTGTATGGACATGAGCAACAGGATGCTCCACATTGATGAGTGTTTTCTCGCACTTAAAATAGATCGTAATATAGTGGTGTAAGTACGAGTATCGTCTCCACAGGGACAGACAAAAGGGAATCAAGAATTAATTAAATTCAGCGATTAAAAAGAACATAAAATAAAAGCGTCGTGCGAGATTGGTTGGTTTGGAAAATAAAACTAATGCGAATAATTAAACTAGGGGTTCTTTCTAATTAATGACGAAGGGAACAGGGATCGATTCCGGGGTAACCAGATTTCTGGCAGATCAGGCCTAATTAAATGAAATTAA